ATGTGCATTTCACAAATAGAACCCCAATTAGTGAACCAACTTGTTTTTCAGCTGTTTTAACCATATCAGCACTAGAAACCTATGACGTCTCGGGCAAATTTATGGCCGGTCTAACAACCAATTTCCAAATTCAATTATCAAGTAATATCTCTCAAACTAATGAACGCAGCTCAATGAAAATTGGAACACATATCATTAGGACCTAATGGTGATGTTCAGCAAGTGAAAATTTTTTAAATTTTGCCTTCATTCGTGAGTTATATTGCGATAAAGTGATCAAAGAATTTCTTCCTAACTCCTGAACAGATTTTAACAAAATTTTTAATATACATTCCTAACTACCATGTGGTGATTTTTTTTGGCTTATAATTTTTTTTTCATTTCACCTTCGTTTGCAAGTTTTTTTTTATCATTTCACCGTCAATCTTGATTTCACACTTCCTTATATTAGGCCCGTATCGCCGGGAAATTTGTTTGTCACTTAAATTTGCGGCAATCAAGAAATTTCTTCTAAACTACTGAACAGATTTTAACGAAACTTTGTATACCCAACCTCCCAACGGTGATGTTTAGCTCGTGACAATTTTTCTATTTTGCGTTTGTTCGCAAGTTATACAGATATAGGAGGAACGACCAGCTTTTCTACCGCCCGGTTTAACCAAGAGCCATTTACATATAGCCATATAACTCGCAAACGAAGGCAAAATCGAGAAAATTGAAATGAGCTAAACATCATCGTTGCTGAGGTTAGGTATTTAAATACTAAGTTTTGTTCAAATCTGTTCAGTAGGTTGGAAGAAATTTCTTGGTTACTGCAAATTTAAGCATGTATTGCTGTTTACAATTGAAATGAAATTGAAATGAAAAAATATAATTCAGTATTCACTTCAGTGATTGACAGAGCGCGCATTTTCTCGTCAACAAAAACATGAAGTCACGGACAGAAAGACAGGCGGACAGACAGACGGACAAGACTAGCACAATAGCGCCTTTTTTTCTATAAATGAGAAAATGTGCAAAAAACTCGCGAACGAAGGCACAATCGAAAAAATTTTATGAGCTAAACATTACCGTCCGGTAGTTATAGTTAGGACTGTAAATTCAAAATTTCGTTCGAATCCGTTTGGTAGTTTGGAAGAAATTCCTTGATCACTGTGAATTTCTGCCTGTATTGCTATATAACTATGGCAAAAACAAATGAAGGCAAAATTCAAAAAATTTTCAGCAGCTAAACGTTACCATAAGGTCCTAATGAATACATGTACCAAGCTTCATCTAGTTAATTAAGTTCAGTAGTTTGAGAGATATTCCTTGATCATTGAATTTGGAAATTGGCTGTGAGATCAGCCGCGAGTCCGGCCGTTGATTTGTCCGAGATGTACACCCAGGAGAGTTTACACGAATCTGGGTGAAAAACCCATCGCTGGGAGTCATGTGCTGCACGTGTTGTGTACAAATCGTCAAACAAATGTTCAAACTTCCATCTTCAACTTGCCACCTCCCTATCGCCCCCCAACCGCCCTTTTCTTCCTTAGCGCCCCCCAAAATCTTTCCACCGCCCATAGGGGGGCGATATCGCCCACTTTGGGAACCACTGATGTAAATGAAAGCCTCCCAAATTACCCCTTCTGGGCAGTGGGCAGTGTGGATTTCTAGGAATGGAAGTTCACTTCTAAAAATAATTTTCCACAGTCCAAGGTGGAAAGCTTTCCTTAGTTAGATTATCAGATAGTGCTCTGCCAGGTGATTGACCATAAAGGAAAAGGGGGATCACAAGTAGAGTAGCCAGCTACCTCAGATTTGTTATACAATTGTTGTTTAGTTGTCTAATGTCTATTATTTGATTGGTATTTTGTATTCATCTTTTATTTAATGAATTTTTTTAAATTTTCCAGTCCTTTTGTCTGTAATAATTAAGTTTAAGTTAAGTATTAGGTAATTTAGTTTAATAATTAAATTAACCAGCAGGATGGAATTCTTTAAATTAAGGTTCATATATTATTTTCAATCCACATGCACCACTTTTTTGATCCAAAAATTTTAGTCACGACTGGGGGAATAAAAATAAGAGAGATAAAAGTTATACTTGTAAGAATCTAGAATGAAGGTTGCAAAATTTCAAGTTTTCAATTAGGACAAAAGTAAATATTAATTCATTAGCATATTGTCTCCATTCTTCAAGTCAAACACAACAAATTACCATTTATGAATTAATAACAAATTACACCACAAATAAGAGTTAAACATGATGCACTGCAAAATCTATTCCGCGCTGTTGGGGGTCAGCCCCTCTAAAGGTCAATGGTCCGGCCGGTATAGTACCAGCACGTGAAGCCAAGCAAAAAAAGCAAAAAAACTCAGGGAAACAAACGGAGGAAGAACCAAGCAAACATGTATTAAATATATCAGTGGTACATGAAGGTGAAAGGTGCAAAATTAGTTGGTTAGTAGTGAGACAGCCCAGGGCTATGAGTGATGGGGTGAACCTAGCATGTGAAAATAAATAGCCAGCAGCCCAAACTGGTTTGAACAGTAAAGAATAAATAATGATACATGGTAAATAAACTAAACTGGGCCAGAAGAATGGTCAGTAGCTTAAATCAAATCAAGAATAATGAAACCAAGGAATCAAGGCTCAAAATGGGCCCTGGGTCAGGCCTGGTCCATCAAGTGGCATCCACACCAAAGAAACAAGATGGCGGTGGTCTTACTTGTGAGTATCAGTGGGGTAGACTCAACTGGCACGTTAGGGCAGCTCTGACATGAGTTGCTAGACAGGACTTAAAGGGCATCCACACTGGCCTCTAGTGTCAGCTCGAGTAGCTGAAGAGCAGCCCAAGACTCGTCTGCAATGTGGCTCAGTGAGCCCAAAGCTTGCCTGTCACTCATCCAGAACTGGCATTGAACTAGCTCAGAACTTGCCGGAATGCGCCCCAAATTGGCCCAGGATATGCCCCACGTTGGCCGCTCTGCAAAAGTGCAGGAACAACAACACATAAAACCTATCCAACAAAACACTTGAATTTGAAACACACAAATACACTTGAAATGCATAAACACACATTAGCTACCTACTACTAAACTCTAGAACAAATTTTAAGGGATGATTGATGATATTTACAAACATTTACTGATAACATTCATTGATTAAAATTTAGGACTGAGATGCGTGGCGAGAGTATTCCCTTTACTCACCTATTTAAAGAGCCAGGATAATCTTAGTTGGTCAGTGACAGGACAGCAAGGAAGTCTTCATAGCCAGAAAGCAGGCTCATGTACAGTAGGCAGTATGAGTGGTTGGCAAGTCAGTGTAAGCACCAGATAAGCAGGAACACAGAAAATTTACTCGCTTCAACGATGCTTATTCACATGCATTAATTTAACTTTATATTGCAGTCACTTTATTAGTATTAAAGCACTGGGGACAAAAAGAGAGGATTAATTGAAAACACTTAATAAATCATTCATTTGCCTAAATGCAGCCCCTAACAGCGCCCCGCGGGAGCTGTTGTGCGGGGTGGCAGGAGCGGGACTCGGGAGCAAAATCTCATACATGCCCACACAGTGACGGACTGACAGCAAACAAGCAACTGCCTCTGATGGCAGCAGTTTGCCTCTGACGGTTTTATTGCGCTGAGGTTTTTTTACTTTTCGGCTAATTTTATATTGTAAGCCCTTCTCTCCCATTTATCTGTCTTCAATGCTTTCTCAAAACTGATATGCAAATCTAAAATTTTTATGCTCACCAATGGTGCTAGGTTCTATTGTAAATACGTTTTTAGGGGTGTCCCTTATTAACCTGGGGGTTGTCCCTTATTACCCTGGGGGTTGTCCCTTATTACCCTGGGGGTTGTCCCTTATTACCCCAGGGGTTGTCCCTTATTACCCCAGGGGTTGTCCCTTATTACCCTGGGGGCTGTCCCTAATTACCCCAGGGGTTGTTCCTTATTAACCCGGGGGTTGTCCCTTAATACCCCGTTTTGCGGAAATGGCCGCCATTTTTTTTACTAGATACGCAAATTTTGTCAATCACATTTTTAATTTTAAGCCAACATTTTAAGCCAACACCTTAAAATGTGATTTTGTCAATCACATTTTAAGCCAAAGTTTTATGTAAGTAATATTTTTTAATATGGTGAATATATATTTTTTTGCTACAGACCTTAGCTCAGGTAATTTTCCAAAACCTCACTTTTCACACATTTTTTGGGGAATTTTTTAGAGGTAGTAAATGCATGCTTTTGTAACTTGCTTTATGCTTCATAGATAGTAAAAATGTTGAACTTCATGCCACTATTTTTAATTTTGCAATATTTTGATTTGTTTTGCTGCTACATTTCTACAAAATGTGGGACAACTTTCCTGATTCTCCAAGCTCATCCCTTCCCTTATTATCCTGTTTGACGGCATGCAATTGCCAAACCCTGCATAATGGCTTGAATTGGCATACACGTCCAATCAAAAGCAATTAATTGATTGATAAACTCTGCATGAATTGGAATATAGCACCTGTTTTGATAGGCATTCATCAGTGTCAATCATCCACAACAATTGTAATATGTGCATGTGTGATGTGTTGATTTGAGTGTTATTCACATCAATCATAATGTGTGTGCATCCCTGTTAATCATCGAGCTTTGGCCACATTGATTTTTATTCCAAGTTTCATTGGCACTAATTGATAATTTTTATATTTATTTGCCAAGACAATAAATACTGTGCAGTGCCTGGTAGTCCCTCTGAAATGACAGTAAATACCATGAAGTAGTACCATACCTCATGTTCCCTTTCAGTGACTGACAGTCCCAGGTACAATTGAGAGCCCCAAAAATCCAGTTGCCCATTGGAGAGAAGATTTTGCCTGCACTTGCTAATCTTCATTGCTGGTGGAAGAAAACCACCATAATTACAAAAATAATTCCCTAATTTGAATGTGTTGTTAGTGCTCCAGATAATAGAATCAATTCTCCTTTAATTCAACTAAACTAAAATTTTGATGTTTAATATTTTACTCAACAGAGCTCATGCGGATACATAATAGTGCAAAATGACTCTGCAGAGAGAAAATAATAGAGATCTTAATTGTACAAGTTCATCATCAAATGATTTGATCAAACAATTCAAGAAGCGCAAAGGAACAGAATTTATTGAAGCCTCCAAAAGAAGAAAAACAGGTTAGTCTAATTAATCATTAAGGTGTTGTTTTTATTCTATAAATTTCGTTTTAGAACAATACCTAATTGCTGAACATCAGTAACTCAGGCAACATAGTTGATTAGCTGACCTGCTGACTGACTGTTTATTTGGCAGAAACATTTAAAAATGTAACTTCTGTGGGTTAGAACATGCTTTTGAATTTTTATGGGATGAAAACAAGCCCTACAAATGTCATTCCCAAATATACAACCATAAGGAATGAAATTGGTGTACTAAGTGATTTTGTATGAGCTATCTTATATCATTAATTTTTTACTTGAATAAAAATGTCCTAACTATTTTATATCTCTCCTAATTCTACTTTGGGTTTGTTCTTGTATTTGTGGCTGTAAATTTTGTGTTTGAAGTAATTTCTATGTACAATTTTTCTTTTCATGATGCATTAATGATGGACATTTAAAAGTTGAAAAAATAGTTTGTTTGATTAGTATTTTCACCTATGTTAAACCTTCTAATATTATCTCTCATTTTTAAAGTATAATTTAATTGATACTTCTTATCAATGGTTATAATAGAGCATATAGAAAAGGTAAGAAGAAAGTGAGGAAATTTCTTTGTAGCTCTAGATTTTTTTGCTTTCAAGAAGCAAGAGAAGTTTTTAGACATGTACATATATATGTATAGAAGATGATATTGATCTTTCAGAAAGCAGCTCTGGTGTTGATCAGAAGAACAAAACCAAGAAGTTTGGTTTTAATGGTCCTTCACGCAATGGCCCATATGGAAAGTTTGGCGGGAAAGGCAAGGATCCTCAAGGCAAACCTGACTGGCGAGAAGTGCGAGCTGAGACCAAGTCTAGGAAGAAGAAGAGGAAGCAAAGAAGTGTTGGTGGAGAAGAACTCTACACATCATTTATGAAGGTCAATAGCCTTCATAATTTTGGTATTCAGCACTGGCTCTTTATAGAAATTCAGTTGATTCAATTTGTAAACAGATACCGGTATGCAATTTCTTTTAAGAAATTTCATCTCTACCTTTTTGAAAATAACTAAAATCTCATCTGGAATATGAAAATACTAGTACTTTCCCCTTCTTAAGATATGTATAGAAAACATTTTGGCATTTACCTGTTTGTTAAATTTGTTATTTGATTTTTTTATTGTTCTACAAATTTGTTTGATGATTTGTTGATGATATTTTATTCGGCAGGCCATAAAGCTCTGGGAAGAGTTGCGTCACACTGACTGCAAGAAGGATCGGCGTCTGGAGCTATGCCGGCAAGTTACCAATCTTTTCATTGGCAATGTTAAAGTCTGGATTAAGCAGGCCAGTGGCATAAGGATGGCTGAGCATCTCATTACACATGGCGATGCTGACATCAGGCAAAGACTTTTTGATGAAATTTGCTCTAAAGAACAGATATTGGAGACCATGAAAGATTCCCACTCCCATCATTTTCTACTAAAGATTCTCAAGCATGGATCTAAGAACCAGCGTGACCTGATATTTGCAGCAATGGAAGGTCAGGTGGTTAGGCTTTCTAAACATACCTATGCATCTAATGTCATTCAACTTGCATACTCTGACTTTGCAACCTCTGACCAGCGTTCCAAGATGATGCAGGAGTTCTTTGGGCCTCGCTTTAGGTATTTCAAGGAGGAAGGTGTGAAGACGCTTGGAGACATCCTTGAGAAGCACCCTTCTAAGAAGAAGGAAGTTATGGAAGACTTGAAGAAAGGATTGCAGATGATAATGCACAAGGGCATCTTTAACAGCACTCTTATCCTTGGTCTACTCAGAGAGTACATGGTACACTGTGACGACCAAGTTGACTTCAATCTTGTGAGAATTTGCTCCTACTACATTTTTGAAACTGAAAATGCATGTTTGAGCTTTATTATATAATTGATAATTGCTCGTTCATGGCAATTTTAAATTGACTTTTACTGATAGGTACTTTGATAATGTTTTGGCGTGCTATTTATCTAGTTATTGTCAAACATTGCACAATATTTACGGTACCCTTTTTAAAACAGAGCAGAGTTATTTATGATTTGTTTGTTGTGAAGGTCATCGAGTCAGTGGAGGACGGGCTGCTCCGTGTGGTGCATACCAAAGATGGCGCCAGGATTGCCATGATGTGCCTGTGGCGGGGATCTGCTAAGCAGCGCAAGACCATCATAAAGAGCTTCAAGGGCCACATGATTGAAGTGCGCTACTCGTTCATACTTGCCTTTATTTGATCTGCATCTCTTGCATTTACCCTTTATTTTGTGTTTGTATTGCCAATCCTTGTAGTGGCGAATCGGGAAGGGAGTGAGTGCTTGGTGGCCCAAATTTTAATTTATGAATTTTTTTAAGGTTATTCTACAACTATGTCTGAATTGCTGACGCGCCAGCACCATTTTATTACATTACACAACATCCTGCACAAGCCAGGCACTCATTTATAAACAAGAATTTGGTGAAGAGCTAAGGTTCCAGGAGAGCTTGTTCTGTGTTGCACTCAAAACCCTGGTCGCGCGTGCGAGTCTCTTACCATTTCACAGTGCGCGCTCCCTCTATATGATCTGCTTCTCTAGCTTACATCATTTCATTTGGTCTGCTTCTCTTGCACATTGGCCTTTATTTGGTCTTCTTCTCTTGCATACGGTAATCTGCTTTATTCAATCTTCTGCTCTTGCATACGAAGGCCTTATATTTTTGGCTCTATCTTATCAGCATTCAAGTTTGACTATGATAAGTCTCCTCACATGATGTTGTCATGGGTTACTTTCCATGTTGATCCACCAACGGCCACGATGTACTAATCTCTGCAAAGTAAACTAACTTCAAAGAGGTAAAAATTTTCCTTGCTGCAAGTATTGGTCATCATATTCTGTTGGTAGAAATAGAGGTTTTGCTGCTTCTTCCGTTAGTGTGAACGGTAACTTGCCACATCAATTGTTGTTGTGAGTTCAGTTTATGGGAAGAGTTCCTAACTACCATTGCGTTGTTAGTTTAGGGGAACAGTTCCTAACAACTATTGCGTTGTTGTTAGTTCAGTTTATGGGAACAGTACCTAACAACTATTGCGTTGTTGTTAGTTCAGTTTATGGGAACAGTACCTAACAACTATTGCGTTGTTGTTAGTTCAGTTTATGGGAACAGTACCTAACAACCATTGCGGTGTTGCTAGTTCAGTCAGTGTAAGTGGTAACAGTTATTATTAGTATCATTGCTAGTTCAGTTCATGGCGCATTTACCACTTATTATTACCATTAATGCTTTCTAATTAGCTAAGCATGGTTGGTTGTGCAGGTTGCCACGTGGGAACACAGTTACATGGTGCTCCTTGCGGCCCTGGACTGCGTCGAGGACACCAAGTTCCTTCATAAGGTGCGCTCATTCCTTTCTCTGCTGAAACAAATTAAAGTAACATACTGTACTTATGCTATAATCTGCTATTGGAATAAGAGCTATTTTTGAAATTGTGAATATTATGGTCACCGTACAATTTTCATTATTAATTTTGGGATTAATTTGGCGTTATTGAATGGATTGTCTTCTAAGAACAATAAAGTTTATCATAAATAAACTTAACAATAAGTTAAGTTTAACCAATACAACAATAAAGTTTATCATCATAAATGTATGATATCGCTTATGACTTTGAGAGGTACCTTTGAATTTTCTACATCAAAGTTTAATTATTGTCAGTTGACAGTGTTTCCATACACGTTGAAATTCGAGTTTTTATCAATGTTTGAAAATAAGAGTGCCTGATGGAAAGATTGAAAAAAGCTTATCTATTAAATTATGATAAGTTGTGTAACTTGCATTTTCAGGCGGTGCTTGAAGTGCTCATGGCTGAGAAAGAGAAATTATTGCAATCTGAGTACGGCACTCGAGTTTTCAGGTGAGCGTCCATGACTTTGACTGTGCTTCATAAATAGAGGTGGGCAGTAGCGCGCTACATGTAGCGGCCGCTACATTTTCAGTAGCGGTAGCGGCGCTACATTTAAGCAATTGTAGCGGTAGCGCCCGCTACATATTTAAGTAGCGATACGAAGTTTTGCCGCTACTGCGCTACTGCTACATTTATAGATAATTCCTTTAGATTTTACTTAATAGCATTAAATATTATTTAAAAACCAGCATGATTCATTCATAATATAAATTACATAATAAAATGTACGAAAGATTTCGGTGTAATGTTGTCAACCTAAGCCTGTTACTACGGTTGTGTCAACATGTTAGTTGTTACCAGAGGTGGGCAATAGCGCGCTACATGTTGCAGTAGCGGCGCTACATTTTAAGCAATTGTAGCGGTAGCGCCCGCTACATTTAGAGCATGTAGCGGTAGCGGCGCTACATTTAAGCAATTGTAGCGGTAGCGCCCGCTACATTTAGAGCATGTAGCGGTAGCGGCCGCTATATTTCAAAGTAGCGCTGTCCAGCTCTGTTCATAAGTGTAAATCAAAGTCCCTTAGATCAATAATATCCCCTCAAATCAAATAATATTCAAAGACTCGATGTGCTTAGCACCTGGTGGTTTTATGTTAGGTCTTTCATATTAGTTTCTACCTTATCCAGGTACATGGTGCTGGGAAGGAACGCCACGTATGTCCACCCTGACATTCTAAAGGTGCTGGAGTCGGGAGACGTGTGCAGTCAGAACAAGAAGCCGCGCGATCTCTGTCGTCGCGAGATCTTGCAATACATAAGTGGTCCCCTCCTGCAGGCGCTCACTGACAACCTGCCCCGCTGGTGTCGTGATGCGCACTGGACGCTCTTCCTTGGGGCTGCAATTCACGTCTTACCTGAAGCTGGCCTCAAGTGCGCCGCTATGACGTCACTGGCGCAGCACTGTGCTGCCCCAGTGCCCGAGGATGCAAAACCTTTGATGGATTTGGCACCATTCAGCAAGATGCTCTCCTTCCTTGTTGGAAAGGATGCTGAAAACAAGAAAAATAAAATGCCACTCTTCACGTTAATACTTATCAAACATGCTGGCGAGGTGGGAAACAGTTTCATATGTGTGAAAAAGGCTTTAATTTTGAAGCGTCTTGGCTTAATATGTATATTTGCATTTTGTAAATCTCACATATGTTGATTACGTCATGTTATTTGGCGTCAACCATTTAAATATGATTTAGCGTTCAAAATATGATGTCTTCCTTCACAGACAATTGCATCATGGCTGAAATGCAACAGAGGTTGTTTTCTAATGGTCAAAGCCATCGAGACGGAAGTTAAACGAGTCATGGCGGCCGTTCGCGACCACGTCGCGCCGCACACTGACGCTATCGACAAAATCAAGAGCTCTGCAAAAGGTGCCGAACTTCTCCTCGAGAAGCTTAAACTGACAGATGGTGTAGAGGCATCAGAAGATGAGGAAGAAAAAACGGGCATTGAGGCATATGAGACTGAGAAATTTGGTAAAACGAAGAAATATCACGGCAAAGTGCTTGAAAATGATTACAACGATAGCAAGGACGATCACAGCGATGTCGAAACAGATGTTCATGACGAGAAAATGGAAGATGAAGACGGCGTTGGTGAAGAAGAAACTGATGAAGAGGACGAATGATTAACAATTTTTAATGCTTGTCTTGTTTCCTCAACACAGTTCTTGCTCATTTATTTCATTATCCTTCCTCAATTAATGTCCATGCATCATTTGCTTGCGAGACACAATTTCTTATCGTTCTATTTTAGACCTTTTACTTGAGAAGTGGAAGTAGTAACAGTGTTGTCTAGGTTCAATGAGCTAAATCTTACTTGTTGCGCATTCTAAACATTGCTGGATTTTTATACCTATCTGGAGGTTCTCAGCCTTCCATAGATTTTCAAGTTTTGATTTTCTTTTAACCAACAAGCTTCCTCACTGAGTTAGACCCGAATCTCTACAGTTCATAAGAAAAAAGTTTGCGAAATAAATTTTTCCTGAAACTGGAGACTCAACTCTGCTTTAATCTCTTACTCATGGTCGGCTGTGTTCTCTTCTTACATTTTATTGAGCGAAGATTTACTAATATTATTTGTTATAAACAGCGTCATAGTTCTGTTGCATAAAGATTTAAATACTCAATCATTTGGTTGATGAAGGCCATGCAGCGAAAATTTTCTAAATAGTGTTTTAAAATTTAGCAATTAACAAATTTTACATCTGGTATTTCAGACTGTTTTGTTGTGATTTTGGTGAATCAATGCAGCTCGCTTCCTGCCTAGTACTGCGGACTACAGAGTATTTCGTGTTAGGGTACAAATGACTAGGATTTCTAAGCTCCTGTAGTAAGTTCCATTTGGCATTATTCTACTAAAAGCATGCAGTTTTCTGAGGATAAAAATGGATCTCCAATATTCGTGAACCTAAGTTGTGATCCTTTCCCTTAAGGCTTGATGTCTGTTGTCTGATGAGTTTAATATTAGATTCATCATTCAGTCTCATTCAGAACATAGCTGAATAAACTTCATAGCTACCTAGTTGAGGACTTGCTTCTCAAGTACATTACTCAAATGTAATTAAGCATACTGTTCAGTTCTATCATGTAACATTATACATATCAATCATCACAAGTAAACTTGAAAATTTGTATGGCATGGGCCAATCAGGGCCCTGTGTGGTGATTGGTGAATCCTTTATCCTTGTGCTTGTCTGCCTTGTCAAACAATGATTCACCAGCTTTACATTTTGCCTTGGCAAGTTGACAGGTAAAATGTAAAAGTTATGAATGATGCACAGTTACACTGCACACATCACAATGATCACATTCATCAATTCAATTCCTGCTATGATGCCTCATAGTGAGGCTCATACCATTCTTTAATAGGCTATCATTAGGATTTAACAAAAATTGCTGGAGGATAATTAAAAAGGGATGTTTATAATATTGATTGGTAGGCTTTTTCTGCTCATGATTGGTTTTTATAGATAATGTAGTATGTAGGTAACTGTAAAATTGGCTATCCACATTCCACTTTGGACCACCCATCTGGAATACAAGGCATGATCATGACATGAATCATGATGATGGTCAGGCATAAGGCATCCATATTTACCATAATACAATAATGGCAAATCACTTGCTGCAGGAATAAGCAGGATGGAATTTTATAAATGATTGTTCATAGATTATATTTGATTCACATTCACCAAGATCAGCTTCTTGTTCAACAACTTTGAGACAAAAAATACACTTCTTAAAGGCTTGAAATGCATATGGGTATGCTAAGTTTCTATAAAGTAATAACTTGCGAGTTGCGACTTCAAAGTTACAGGCTTGCAGCTGACAGCCTGACACTGACACAGTGACACTCAACAATTAAAATTAGACATATGAAAAGTAGTAGATAAAGATTTGTTTCTTAAGTTGACCACAGTGAACTAAACTCCACTTGCTCCAGTAAGTAATTACAATTTACTACTCAAGTTACCTTAAGGCTTAGCTACCAAGTAGGGTTTTCCATGATGTACACTAAACACACAATTCAGGGAAGTGGGAAAACATATGACAAGAGCCTGCATGCAACCAATCTAGCTTCATTCCCAGTGCATAATCTACTAGAGTGATCATGGTTGATGGTATCAGACTATCATTTGTTAATTCAGTGTCACTGTGCCAGATAATGATGAGTACCAGCCTCATCATTGTGCAGTGGTGCCCAATATTAACACGTTGACTATGAAGTGGTACATATGTGTACCACAAAATTTATTTCTCCAGGGCATAGTGGTAAATAATTTAGGTTGCCTAAAATTGGCCAAATCCAAGACCAAAATTGGCCAAAAAGGCCGATAACTCAATATATACTAGTTTATTTGTAGTTTCTGCTATAAAAATTCCATTTATTTTATTTTTGCAGTATTTAAAATTTAATTAGGAAGTACCCCTATCATAAATTTTAGCTAGCCAATGCAATTGAGAAAAACTAAGTCATGGAATTTGTCCATAAACAATGACCGTCTGGCAACCCTGTTAAAAACAGTAAAAAAAATTGAATAATAGTACAAGATGAAGCAATTGTAGTCAATGTGTTAAACGACCAACAATTGCTGGCCAATCCCAGCCATCTGTTTTCAAAATACCAAAATTGTCTGAACTTTGAGATAGTTTTCAGAGTCATTTTCCTTATAGAAATTTCCTTGTTGTATCCTATTTACATGTATTACGTACTTATGTCAACCAAAATTTCATTCTTCAATGCTTCTATTAACTTCAAAGTGAATCTTGATCATTCAAAACATTGTTAAATATATTATAAATCTTTGCTGAGACCTGCTTTTTGATCTGTTAATGTCATCTAAAGAGTTTTGATTCCTTGCAAATTGGAATATATATAATGCATTCTCTAGTCATTATTTGTATGTGTTTCAATAATAAAATTCTGCAGCAACTATTCCATGCAGCAACTATTTTTTCCATAGGGGCAGATTTTTTCTAAACATGCTTCGGCCATCTGTCCAGATTTATGAAATGACTTTATATAAATTCCCACACGCATGGTGCTTCTTCTTGCACATGGGTCTCATTTATAGGTGGCTTCTGCCCAATGTTCCACTTTGGTTCTTAATAGTATAGGTAGTATAGTATCTTCAGCATTCAAGAATAGGGATGTCGGCAATTTTTGTACTTTTCTTGACTAGTTCACAGATCTAAAAGACAGGCATTTTCATCAAATCTTTTCAATGGATGGTGGTTTCAAATGGTTTCTAGGCTTTCAGTTGTTCCGAAGGATACTAGGCATGTCAAGACTAAACATATGCTGCTACGCAGTCTTGTCTAGTCTGTTTTTGAATGCGTTTATATTCAGAGCATCAACATTATCATAAGGAAGGCTGTGCCACATGTCAGAGACTCGAGATGAGAAAGAGTTGTCAATTGTCATGGATGAGTGTCACCTTAGTTTTTTTAGTTAATAGCTGTGGCTCCTGGTGTTGGTTCTTGTTTTAAATTCTAGTAATCCTTATAAGACCTTGTACAAGCCATGAGTATACTTGTATACATCAATGAGGTCACCACGCAGGCAACAATAACAAGGATGTCAGCATTGCCACATTGATGGTCTAAATGATGGTCTTCATCTGTCCTAAAATTAGCCTATGCCACATCTTTTTTAAAACTTATATATGTGTTGTTTGCTTTTATTTATTAAATTATTTGCAGAAACAATCACAACAAATGGACACAGAAGGCATGTATATATCTATATATATATACGTTGGAAAAGCAAGACGGGTGCCAAAACTATGGCTTATAGGTTGAAATATAATTTTGAACAACTCTTATTAATCAAATTGTCAGCTTTAACCCAGTCATAAAAAGTTGATAATTAAACAAAATGAGCTCATTGAGTGCACTTAATCCATTACTGTGACATAAGAAAGGAATAAAAAAATTCGGCCATGATGAATAAAGAGCCATTTTGTTTGGAGCACCTACTTTTAGATCTCTGAGTTACATTATTATTTAAACAGTGGTTACATGCAGACCCCTTTCTGGAAAATCATACTTCCTTGTAAGGCTTATGAAATGGAGGTGACACTAGATTAATGATCATTCTCATACTCATGATAACTTCAAGTTTTATCCACATGATGTGAGAAAATTTCAAAACATTTTGTTTTAATTCTATTATGCTGTTTTATGCATATCAATCATTGGATGGATAGTCAGAAATGCTGTTATGTTACATTCATATGTGATATTTCTAATAAATCTGTTGGTTTTCAGATCCATGATGTTGGTGGAGTGTGCCACTACATCCAGCAACTCGAATGTCACAAACTACATCTCAACCACATTTTCATCTATCAGCCTAAATTCCCCAACTTGCACTAGCTCTGCCACATCTTGTGCCACATCCGCCAAATGCACCAATGTCAACTGCTCAACAAGCCTTGGCAGCAACACCACCAGTGGCTACATTAGCAATGGCCCAAGTGGTAATGATGAAACTAAGGTGCCTGTCATATCTGCAGTTTTGCCGGTTGTCAATATTGCAAATAATTCTGCATCAGATCTCCTGAGCAGTGGTAGTAACAGTTGCAGTGATAGCTTAGGAAATAGTATCAGCACCAATAGCATAAGTAACAGCAATAGCATAGGCAACAGCTGGAGGTTTCCAAAGAATGAAGAAGAGCATTTCAATGGAGGAAACTGCGAGTCTCCTTGGCATCTGCAGTCATCCATGGAGGCAAGACCAGGTGCCAATTACTCAGCCAATAGATCACCGGTATTTAGTGAGAGCAACCTTTTACAAAAAGCCTGCTCAGACACTGCAGGCCGTTCTATGAAGTATGGCTCACCTCTCTCAGAAAGCAAGATTTGCAAAAAAAGTAATGGGAAAGTTCAATGTGAGTCTAAAAGCATTTCCAACATGGTGGATGTAGAGGCATGCTTGGCCAATACACCACCCCATCTGCTGATCCGGTCACTGTCTTCCTTATCACATCACTCAACTCAGTTGTCAACCCTGCCCAGGCCTCAGGAACAGGAACCAGTGAGTTAATTCTTGCAGTTCATGTTGTTTTCTTAGAGTTTTCTCTAAAATGTTATCCAAAAATTCTTTGCTGCATATGTCAAGTGAATTCGAAGAGTTCAAATAAGAATTAATAAATAATTATGCTGGTAGGCAGTCAGGCTCTGCTGAATAAGACTCTCATATCCAAAGACCCTGAAGTATAGAAAACAAGAATTGTCTACAAAAACTATATGGGCCTCACTCATTTCTGCAGGTCGGTAGCCACACCCTGCAGAAGGGCGTCCTACAGCAGGCCAGGGACCGAATCTTCTCGCGCTGGAAGGAGCGTTACTTCGTCCTGACCAGGGACTACCTGGCATGCTTCAGGAGAGGCTCCACCAAGTACTCGGAGATGGGTTCCTTTATCTTCAAGGTTATTAGTTGCCAAAGTTTGTGATTATCAGTCTTTTATTGTGCAAAATTTCAATAATTTATCTTTTAATTATAGCTTAACCCAACATTGCGTGGGATAAATAAGCCCTGAGATTTGGGAATCTAATTATCAAAATCCACTGTTCTAAATCCTGCTATCCTATATCCAGGAATCTCATTCACAATATTTCACTAAACATGATATAAATAAAAGAAATACTTGTTTAAACTCACATCCATCAAACTCCCTCTTTGATGCATCTGCAATAAAATTTTTACTTTCAGTTTTTAACTAAATTCACTATTAAAAGAGAAATTGCTTATCTAAATATAACTCCTTTGTAAAAAATTTCAAATCCCAAAGATCTTCAGTTTATGATTCTTCTCAAATTATAAACAGTAAAGAGTCTTAACTTGGAGTAGTCTTAGCACCATTATAAGACTAAGTAAAATATGCTCAAGCAAGGACTGCATGAGAACACTTCCCTGCTGGGTGTGTTGTTTTGTAAGAAATTAGAACTAAATTTATCACCTGAGATTTTCTTGTCACGTTAATGTCAGGTAATGGAGTGCTCGATGTGCTGCAGGTGAACCTTGCCAGTGTGGAGGGCGTGTACTGGGAGGAGCGGCGTGGCAGCGCCGTGGTGGCCGTCGAGCTGCCCAGGGAGGGACGCGTTCTGCTTAGAGCTCGTGCCAATGAAGCCCATCTCCTGCAGGTAAGTGTTAATCAACCACAGAGGGCTTAATTACAACACTTCTCTTTAACTTCACTTCTTGTTGTTTGTTTGTCTGTCTGCTACAAATCTTGTAATCAAAATTTAATACACTTCTACTTGTCCTATCGATCTGAAATTTTGCACACTTGTGTAAAGTTGGAGACAATGCATGAATCAAATGTCAAAATAAATGATTTTAAAAATTAAACTTTATTTTTCAATATTAAAAAAATTGAAAAAATAATTTTGACACACTTTTACCTGTCTAATTGATCTGAAATTTTTCACACTTGTGTGAAGTCAGAGGCAATGCATGAATCAATTAATAGAATAAATAATTTTGAAGAAAAATTTATATATTAAAAAAATAAAAAAATTAATTTTTTAATATTCGAAAATTAAATGAGAAATTCATTGTACATCTGTAAGATTGGACGTACTAAGACGACTGCAGACGACGTACTAAGACTACCGTACTAAGACGACTGCAAATTCACAGTTCTTGTCTATCCGAGTCTACATTATAGTGAACTGCATAATGAACTCATGGGTGCTTAGGTCTTAACAAAGATGTTCTCACATATAGGTATGTCCAGTAATTTGACGAGCATTCTGTTGTTGACTAGAATTACACCAACGTCTTATTCAACTTAATCTTTAGGTCACCTTAATCATTTGAATTTATTGCACTATATTCCCTATGCTTTTGATCTGGAATATACTATTGAAAATAGCTACACGGTCGCTACTCCTTTAGCCTGACTGCTTTTTAGGCTACACTCACCAACCACAGACAAGAAATTGGCTGCTACATTTACTTAGGTTGCTAATTGTAATTAAGCGAGGCTCAATAGTACAGTACAGCCAATAGCTGCTATTTGTAATTAAGCGAGTCTGAATATTACAGTTCTTGACATTTGATATTTAATTTATTCAAGGTTTTATTTCTATTTGTAATGTTGATGTGATTGTCAGGGCTGGTATCGCGCGCTGCTCGACGCCACGACGTCTTCAAAGCTGCGACGCACGGCCCTGCGTCGGGGCACTTCGACCAGCACCCTGCACCTCCACCCCTCATCGTCTACTCCATACCACTCATCTACTGCCCCTCACCACTCCACGGCTACTCTCCCTCACCACTCCACGACTACTCTTCCTCACCCACCTTCCCTCTCTCTCATCCATCACGCTGCTTTACCCCACTCTTCACCTTCAGGTTAGTGTCAGTACCGCCTCTAGTCAACCATTTTAACCCCAATTATATAATCAAATGTGCGTTGTTGAATATTCTCAATTCAGAGCAAGTACTTTCATTAAATTCTCGAACAAATTTGCCTGATATTGGTTATACCTTTTTTATAATTGTGAGAGATATGAAATGAACTTCGATCATTAATCTGCTTAAATTGCAAGTTCACTAAAAATTTAAAATGAAAATGCCAAGTAAATTCATCTCATATTAAATGAAATTGTTTTGGAGACCATCTCCATCATGAGTGAAAGAACTGATATAGAATACAAGTACAAACCATAGTGAAAATCAAAATATACATGAAAGAGATTAAAAACAAGAAAACGACAAACAAACTTAAAAAAAACTAGTATAGATTTACAATTTCAATAGGGTAAGAACTATACGTACGCCTTATTGAGATGGAGTTTCTGTTTAAAAACTTGCTGCGATTCTAATACCGTACCCAAATGACTGGAAGTGGCACCGAGTATCTTGAAGTTTACTAGGCGTTTGCTTTGCTTTTAAATTCTTGGTATATGAGTAATTAATGCAATCATAGTAAAATGTAGACATATTTGATTGTTCAAGTAACGTCCTGTATTTAATGGAGATTTGTTATTGTTGATACTTGACCTCAATTTTCAAATAATACATATATTATTGATAGATGGTGAACATTTTAGCTCAGATGATGTGTTACGTGTACAAATTGACCACTAAAAATTCTGTTTCTTCCGAGTGGCAAAAATGTTTTATTTCAATTAGTAACATCGGCCTTTTATTTTCTTTATTATCAGATGAATTTTGTAGCGTCACCTTTTTGTCTTGTGCGGTAACTCTCGTTACCAGGTTTTTAGATATGAATAGCATTATAGATTCAAGTATCCTCCACTAATATAAATCAATAGTCGTTCTCACCTGCTGACAGAAAATTGATAGTTAAATGCTTTCAATTTACCAGGCATGAGCAGTTGCAGCAGCAGCAAGTGCGGCACTGAGGAGCGTCTGAGTTGTGCTAAACTGCAGCAGCAGCGCACGTCCGCCTGCCCTGGCGGCTCGCTGGACACTGACCCGCCGTCAACACCGCTGTCCTCCCTCACCTCCCTGCACAAACTGTCCTCAAACGCCTCGTCTGGTGCGCTGCATCACCCACACGCAAACTTTCCACGCTTTTCCTTTTGAATTGTGTTAATATGCACCTAACATAATGTTTAACTCTTGGGTATTTGTGAAGCTGTGCACCAGATGCAGTATTATTCAGTTTTTGTAAATGCGCTCAACTTTTCATCTTCTGGTTACCTTCCTCTTTTGTGCACTCGTGAGGTTGTTTCTGATATCTTTCATGTCCTGAGATGTTAAAACGTCTCAAGGATGAGAGTTTCTCTAAAAATTTAATAAGTTCTTGAACTTTCCTGCTGTATTCAATTTTTGTAATGTAACAGAAATGAAATTATTATGAAAAATAATCCGCTCTGTCAAGTGTACACGGTATTATTTGCTTGAAGTAAAGGGGACTGTGTGGTGAAGGAGCTGTTGGGGACTGTGTGGTAGGGAACAGTTGCTCACATTCGAGGCTCCTTGTGTGTCTCATATTTGTAGCTGCACAGCTGTGCTATATATGAGCAGTACTGTCCCCCTCCCCACTGCAGTAGGGCTAACTGAGGAATAGCACAAACTACTACCGCTTAGCCCAATATGCAGCGTCTCCTCCCCTCTCCTGCAGGGTCAGGCTGCGGGTCTTCCGTCGCTTCATCCCCTGGGCTGGGGACTTGTATTGCCCCCAGCGGGTGGTCGCCGCGGTCGCGCTTTAGTTTGGTCGAAAGTCCTCGGCGCCCGCTCCCCTCCGCGGCCTCTATGTGCCCTCCTAAGACCCGGCATTCCCTCTGCCTTGACCCCTCCGACCAGCCGCATTCCCGCCTGCTGCCCACCAGGACCACTCCCCTCACTCCCATTTCGTCCAGCCTAGGCTTCCCCTCAGCCCGCAGATTCACACATTCCCCTGCCGGTATGACAATCAAATATTAGGCTTAAAGGTTTATGTGCAATCTTTACTGTAGAAATTGTCCCTTTGATTTTACCTGTCCTATGTAATTCGAACTAATGATCGCACTGGTATAGTAAACGTTTGATGTGTATTTTCTATTTGGAAACTTTTTTGCTCTGAAATTTTAGTCAATTTTCAGTGTGAGCAATTAAGTGAAATAATAACATATATGTGAACTTATGGTCAAGAAAAGTTAGTCAAGGTTTAATTTTCAGGTCACACGCGGCGATCACTTTGCTTGGACTCGCTGTCGGCGTCACGGACTTCCCTGGTGAGCCTCACTCCCCGCAACCCTTTACTTGAGCTGCTCGAGACCTGCCCGCCTCCCTCTGCTGGTCCCATTCCTTGCCCTGTGGGCCCCTCTGCCGGCCCCAGCCCCTGTTCTAAGGGGCCTTCTACAGGCCTCAACCCCTGCCCTGTGAGGCCCTCTGCTGGCCTCAACGCTGAAGTCGCTCAGCCCAGCGAAGCTCCCCCGTCTGCCCTGGCCCAGCCCAGAACGCGCACCAGCCTCACGCTCTTCAGAAACTCGCCGCTCTTCAATTAAGACTTGCAAAATTTTCTGTTGATGCCGCGTGCGTGGGATCAGTTTTTGTGGCATCAGTCCTTGCTCCTGTCCAGTTAAGGTTTTAATTCTTCCCAAATGATGAAGCTCAGTTGAGATCTACAGAATTTTTAATTTTCTGTGTTGACAATTAATCTTCATGTCTTCATTAATGCCTTGCATGTGTTCCCTGATAATGCTTTATTCAGTTTTAATTATATCTGCATTCATGTGCTTATCGTTAAATAATGTCTCTGCAATTAATCTATCTCCTTTGTTGTTCTTCTCATTGACAACTAATGTTGTTCCCAAGAAATGTAAAGTTTCATAGTTCGTTTATATGTAAATAGCGATTTCAGAATGGCCATGAAATAATGTATCAAGAAAAGTTTCTTGCGGCCCTGACCTCACTTAAGATACAAGTGATCTTATTCATCTTGCAATATAATGATTGGTTTTAAGTAGGTAGTCTCTTATTCATCTTGCACCATGATTGGTTTTAAGTAGTCTCTAATTCATCTTGCGATATAATTTTAAACCAAATTGATTTTACTAGCGTTTGACGTTGATCAAAAGTTTTATATATGATGTGTACTGTAGAATAGTCTGTTGGCCTCCGCAACACAACCAGCTACTTTTTTCTATGCTGAATTATGATGAATGACGATGAATTTTCACAATGATGAATAATTATCACAAAAAGCTTGTTTTTGATCAATATGATTAATTTTCCTGGACACAGCCCCTTAGTGTCTGTTTTTACCTCCACTTGGGCCTCTACTTCTCTACAAAAGCTGGAAAGTTCTGGTCTTTCTCTTTTATGTTTACGAGCACTAGTTCAGCTCAACAGCCAAATTGGGTGCAAGGGTATGCGATATCATAATTCTAATATTCTTCGATGGGTTAATCAATGATAATTATGAATTATGCATTCATTAATGCATAATTCATAATATATATTCATAATTGAAACATATACTCAGCAAACCACTGTTTTGGAGAATTTTTTAGCCCATTTTCTTTGGTTTAAGATGCGATAACAGATTTTGGAACGGTGTACCTGCTTCATTGAAGCAGTTTCTTATGTTGAATTAACAAAGCTTATTATAGTTTGAGTATAAGGCTGGATTTTCATGCCATGTGTATTCGCATGACTCCTATGATCGCGGTGCAGAGGCGGACGATCAATGATTGTGCCCAGGAACACGTCCAGTCTCTTGCAGGTCCCCAGGGTGAACTCCCCCTCTCTTAGATCCTTCGGTAGGACGCCAGTTGTGTGTAGGTGACTTTAATGTGTGTTCTTAATGTACTGTTCAACAGTGTGTCCTGACTGCTGACAGTTGTACGTCTAGGTGACTTTAATGCGTGTTCTTGTGTACTGTTCAACAGTGTGTCCTGACTGCTGACAGTTGTGTGTTGGTGACTTTAATGTGTGTTCTTGTGTACTGTTCAACAGTGTGTCCTGATTGCTGACAGATGTGTGTGTAGTTGACTTTAATGTGTGTTCTTGTGTACTGTTCAACAGTGTGTCCTGACTGCTGACAGTTGTGTGTGTAGCTCGCTGTTCACTCATCGTTTTGACTGCCCGTCAACCGAGTTTGATTGCGTGTAAAGTCTGCATAGTTTCAGCGTGCACCGCTTTACTCGCATAAGATCAATAACAAAGTGTACTTTATTATTTTTGAAGCTTCATTTCTTATATATCATTGACTACGATATGCAGGTGGCGTATTGTCTTTTTCATTATATACGAGGAGAAAAAGCTTCAGAATTTATAAATAACTTCTTGTGTTCAGGGAAAAAGTAAAATGTTGTTTTTGCATTTTAATTTAAAGTTTGAGTTTAAACTTTAAAGTAAGTATCAAAATTGTCAATGACGATGCTAGTGATTTTATTGGTTATTGATATTGACGACTCTTCATCTTGCCACTCTTCGTGATAGGAATTATTCTGCTCAGAAATGATCATCAAGTTGATATTTGTTTTAAACTTTTTATTTATGCGCAATGCTAATTTCAATTGTCTTTTAATATGGAATTTGGTTGATTCTGAACTGGATGCATGTATGGTGATCAATAAAAACGTTGATTGAACTTGACTGAGAACTTCGAAGGGCTCTAGAGGTGACGTGAGGCTCGACTGCTGTTGAATGTTGGGCTGTAGAAGGGACGGCCTCGAATTTATTACTCTGCTATGTAGGAATTTCTGGAAGTTACTTTCCTCCCGGGATTAATTTTCACTTGAATTCAAAACCCATAGCTATGAATTATTATGAGGTAGAGTAAATTATTAGAATTTAAGTTTATGGCAAGTTTCCTTTGCGATTCTCATTTTAAGTTTGTTTATTGATGAAGTTTAATTGTTAAATTAGATTTTTAAAACGTTAGCTTGATTAAGATCATGATTTATATTGAAATAGAGTACGGCGTTCGTTATTCCTGCCATCGCTTGTTCATTCCACTTGTGTATTAAAAACCATTTTACCTGTAAGCGTTTCAGAAATATCCATTAGATGAGAAATTGCCTAATTATTTTTACGATGATAACTTCTTGTTTACTCGGATATTTAGGACGATAATTCTGAACAAATTTTCCATTGCCAGATTATACCTCTGACTCATTGATATTACAGCATTTTGATGCCATCATGCTCATTCTCGCTCATTAATGACTATAGATGATGTAGCTTGGTTCAATGCTTCAGTTTGATCACGCAGTGCAATCGTTGCTACCACATTCCAGCCTAGCTTTAGGTTGCATTCTCTCGCTTTAAATTGACATTCCCATTGGACATTTCATCTCACGGAGCGCTGTGTTCAGTTATTGAAACATTTCTCATGGAAAACTTGCATTGGCGCTTGTGTGTGTCTGCTTTTCTGTGACACATTCCTGTCAGGCGCAGTTGCTGCCATGGCAGCACCGCGGGCACTTCATATACGAGATCTTAACTTTATTTAGAATAAGGCTTTCATTAAGCAATACAAATGTCTACTGAATCTCATTCGAATCTTCTCTTGAAGTGATGTCGATTGTGGTAGACAGTGATTATTGTGTCACTGCACAGTTTCATTTCTTGCAATCCATTCTGATAATTTATGTCCTCATTTCTTGTCTTTCCCCACGCACTGCACTGCAATCACCACAGCAGAAGTCCTCACCAAAGCTTACAGTTTGTGTAAAGCCCAAAGTCCTCTTATACCTGAGTCTTGATCCCTCACCAGCACTCACTAAGTCGAAGCATACTTGCCATGCGGATGGTTATTTCTGTTACTAACCCTTGTTGACTAATCAGTAATATGATATCTTCTACGAAATGCAGGGACGGTAAATGATGGCGCACCAGAGTAGTTAATCTCTCATCGAGGACTGGGAGGTGGAGGGGGGCGCCAATATCTACTTATAGAGACCGCGAGTTGTGTGCGTCTGAGAAGTTTGTAGCTCAGAAGCAGCGAGTTCGATTACCCAATTTAACGTCGGTGACAATAACGTGTGCTCGCTGAGCGCGGTGGCGTGGCGGCGGCACTGAGTGCAAGAATGCTGCCTTCGCGCAATATTCGCTTGCTCCATTATTCTATTTTGTGAATCTTTCATGATCGAATTTAATTCTTGCATTTAAATTGAAATGATGAATTTATGTTAAATAAACAGCAATAATTAAATAAGTGTTATTATGGAATTGTGTCGAGCGCTTGTTGGGCTTTTAAAATTCAACGCTAGCCGCCGAATCGGATCCGCGAATTCCTCAAAAAATTAAATGTTGGTGTCGTTGCCCGACATTCATGTACCACACCAGTTGCTAGGGCGAACCAATACTCGTGTGGACTTTAATACTTATTTGTACTGTGTACATTGATGATGTTGTTAGTGTGTGACATGAGAACAATCCTTACGTGTAAAAGCATCCGTTCCAGATAGCATTTAATAATCATTGTCGTAGGCTAGCCGTTCGCTCTCAATGAGGGCACGATGTCTCGTGTAATGTCTCGGTTTTTCCATCTCTAACTTTCTAGAACCTTCCCTCCTTCTATCACTGTTTTTTTCTGTAGAATTAAAGTTTATGAAAGTGTAATAGGCTAAAGTGACAATTGAATCTCTGTTTATTGTAAAGAATATGAAGAGCTCTACAAATCTACTTGTGTACCCATGTTGACGGTGATCGATATTGTTGACACGCTTCAGTGTCCTTACAGCGTGTCCAAATTTCTTCTTGGGGGTCTTCAAACTCATGTAAGGCATTGCAAGTACTCAAGTGTATTTTTCATTAGCATGTAGGTCGATGTTATTTACTGCTGAATTTGCGGTGATCGGTTCTATGATGTACGAAATTCTGTAGCGCATGCGGTCGTTATCACGCACATGTTAATGACGCGCCGATAAGACGCTGTTCACTCCAAGCGTGTGAAATTTTCTGGTTTCCTGATTACCTAGCTTCTTAAAATTTTTTTTTTAATGTTTACCTGGCTTCTTAAAAATTCGATAAAGGCAGCAGAAAAACGCCATTAATTCATCGCTGAAAGTTAGGTCAGACAGTAAGTTTTCGGCGCAGTCGCATGATAGGTAAGTTTTCGGCACAGTCGTGTGATGATATCTTACGTATTACCAATGTTTAATCTTCCAAAAATTAATCATTTAGCATTTTGTGTAGTACCATTTTTATTAAAAAACATTTTCACGGAACATGAAAGCCACTTGACAACTGCCGTCAAGCCCAACCGACAAGGTTTATTAATATGCTTCTGCGTGGTCGTCGTGCACGTCACATTATGACACGTAGAGCTCCCGTCATAGGTTCCCAAATTTTATTGATATCGTATAGCTTATTTGTATGTTGAACATTATTTATGATGTCGTGTCTTGTCCTCCATATTGTTGACATCAGAACTAATCACTAATTTTATAACCCTTCCCTCTTACGAACGAATCAAAACGTAAAACGTGGAGGAATGTATTAATAGTGTCCTAGAAAAAGAATGTCTTGCGGACGTCTAACCTAACTCACCCGCCCACAGCAATGTAATTAGATCGTCTCTGTATTGTATATTGGTCTATGTTCACTACAATGGTGTCGTGGGTCACAACAGTGTAGTGCTCAGTCAGTGGAGATTGCTTGATTGGTCGTTGTAAAGCTGTAGCTCTAATTGTTTCTAAAGTCTTTTAATTCTGTTTAATTTTAGTATTTATTTGTATATAAAGCTGCCGAGATGCAATCGTTGAAATAAAGTTGAACTAACACTCCAGCCGTACTCCATTATTTTCCAGAATTTGACCCCTGGTTTAAGCAATAAAATTATTACATCTTTATTTATACCTGCTCGGCCATTGGGTCAAATGGTCCACATCCCCATGCATATAATTTTAGTAGAGACACAATACATGACAATTTCGGGGCTATTTTAGAAGTCAAATGTAACGACAATCATCAGGAATTGGTCAGTCAATCCGATGATGAGCTGTCGGTCTTGATGTTATTTATAAATTATTTTCATTAGAGCTGCGCAGCGAAATGCTTCCTATTGAATTCTTAAAGTAATTCTCGCTTTGATTAATTAATGTAGTAATTTTCAGTTGTGCGTGTACTTGTGAAAAAACGTGAACCAACATCTGAAGCCACATTGAGTTAAAATGTATGAAGCAGGTATTTTACTAGCAAATCATGTCGGTGAGCAGTGCAACATTCCGTGCGCCCAATTAACCGATGCCTGCAACAGGGTATGTTATGATCTGAGTTAAGCTCGAATCAAGATAACCTCGGAGTGTCGAGGAACTCATTGAAATTTTTTTTTTATTTTTTTGCCATTTCCAGCAGCGATAGGTGTAGTTAGTCATACATGCAGACCTGCTTAATCATTTATGAGTCAGATTTCCCACCTAGGATCATGGCATCTGGTATGTAGCAGTCCATCCCTGCACGTGTCTCGAATTTTCTAGCACGCAATACTGAAATATTTTCTCTTAATACACTTTTAGTGCACTTATTTAAGAGTGGTACAGAAATAATAATTTAGAATCAACCATGCTTACTGAATTGAATTTAAGATCAACGTTCTATTTTGTGTAATCTTTTAGATGCTGCTGTTAGTATGGACGTCTCGGACAGAATACAATTGTTTAATTTTCGACATGTTGAATGTTCTGTCTCTTAAGAGACAGAACATTAGTTATTTTTATGCAGATTATGAATGAACATGAAACTTTAACTGATTTGCACTTTTATTATTGCATTTTATGTAATTTTAGCGATGTAATGTAACTAATGTTGTTCTCATTTCTCGTATCCGCGGAGTTTCTAGAAACGAAACTCGCGACCGTTATAGCCTGGCGCCCGACTCTTCTAGAACCTTCTGCAATGCATCTTCGAACGCATTCGTTGGTCTAGATTCTTCTCGACCTTTTTCTGAATCCATATTTCTTCTTAATTGTGATTTATGATGACACTTGAATGGAAAAAAATGAACGGCATGGAAAGAAAGAAACGAACGGTTACTATTTGAAATGATGAATGATCAAATAAATTAATAAATACATGCCAAATTAAAAATGAACGAGAGCCGCGAATTAAAAATTAAATTTTCCTACCGTGGATCACGAGCCTACTAGTGCTTACCGCATAGTACTAAGCGATACAGCAAAATTAGAATCGAAGTTATATCTCGTATATTTACTGAAGAACTGTTGAAACTCTTTTTCGATCAGTATAGGTACTGTTAATCGTCACTCACTGTGCAGAGACGAATCTACTGCCCTAAAATCATTTACTGGAATAATTATTAGCAGGTGTACATGTTGAAGAATTCGTTATTTTGTGATGAAGAAGCATTTCAGATTTTTTTAATTTTTTGTGTGCAAATATATTACGACGCACGTTGTCATTTTAGTGTTGGTGCACAGTCATGCTGATTATGAAACATTGAATTAATTTGTTAGCTGTAGGATCATTCGAAAAATTCTATACTTTTGTTGCCATTACATACAAAAATTCTATCCAGAATTTGTTCGTCTCTATTAAAGTGAAAATATATCGGGAAATTTTAATGTTATTATGATGTCTGTCGTAGTGCTGGTGCATGTGTTAATGAACTTACTATTAGTCTCTGTTATCTGATATATAATGCCATAACAATATTATTACATCTGAGCGAAATAAATATTCAATTGATTTGTCATTGCGGTTTAACGACGTAAGATTAATATTTTATTTATTTATATTACATGATGTGACCAACGGCAGAATTTTTCATATCGCAAACAAACGGATAAAAATTATTTTACATTTTAGAATCTAGAATAATATGTATACCTATAAATACGATTAATTCATAAATTCTCACAGTTTTTATTGAAGTGTAATTTATCAACGACGGAAAATTTTCGAAATTCTAAATGAGCAACATCAATTAGAGTCATCTACCATTCTAAGCAGATCACATGAAAATTTATTCAAAGTGTTAGAATAAATTCGGCTAACGTTGCTTACCTACTTATGGATATAGGATTTAGAAAGATTTCTATTGAACGTGCAACAAAAGCTTGATAACCTATCGACCTTAGAATTTTTTTCAAATCATGGTGAGTTTGCTAATTCCGATGCTTTTTCGCCTAATACCGGGAACGCAATGTGATTCCTTGTCGATATGGAATTTTACATTTCTCAAATACAAATTTTGTTTAATGCTGACTGCAAATGACGTAACCACTTCTAATGCATCTCAAAACATCTGGAAACATCCTCTACGTGCGACGTCACTCTAGAGTTTTCGTTTAATAGAAACTTCTAGAAAACTGTTCCCCGCAGCGGTGACTGCTATATAAACAGCGTGCTGGTCAGGCGGCAGTTAGATACCAATCAGCTACCCAGCGAGTAAAGTGAAGCTACCGAGAATTGAACTGTGACTTAAGGATACGCAATCGCTACGTATCGAAATTCTTGACGACAAACTGTCAATAACGCTAATAATTTCGTGAGTTTCTCGATTGAGTGGAGCATCTCCATCGTCAATTGCGAGTATCGGGTGTGTGAAGAGGAAATCAGATCTACAGACACAGACGGCTTAAACGAGCTTTCAGGTAATATATCTATAATAATTATTGTCTGTTTTCGATTGATATTCGTATAAATCTGGTGCTTGAATTGTTATTGGATTTCTTGTAATAATGTTCATTGCATGGAAATCACAGCGATGGCAAAAATGTCTATCTTGGTGCTATTTGAATGTTGCGTTGTATCTACCCGTAACCTTTGTATTGTATGAACTGTGTAGGATTGTTTGGATTTTATTCTTACAGCTGCTATCTCTGTGTGCAGATATCTGTACAAAATGAAAACAAAGACCGCGACCGCAGTGGGCATTGACCTGGGCACGACCTACTCGTGCGTGGGTGTATTCCAGCACGGCAAGGTCGAGATCATCGCCAACGATCAAGGCAACAGGACAACTCCTTCTTACGTCGCCTTCACAGACACTGAAAGGCTCATCGGTGACCCTGCCAAGAATCAAGTCGCCCTCAATCCCATCAACACAGTTTTTGATGCCAAGAGGCTTATTGGCCGTAAATATCACGACCAAACTGTTTCCAGTGACATGAAACACTGGCCTTTCAAAGTTATTGATGTTGATGGGAAACCCAAGATCAAGGTGGAATACAAAAATGAAAACAAGACATTCAGTCCTGAAGAAATATCCTCCATGGTTTTGATGAAAATGAAGGAAATAGCTGAAGCTTATCTGGGAAGCGCCGTTAAAGACGCTGTCATCACTGTGCCTGCTTACTTTAACGACTCCCAGCGCCAAGCAACAAAGGATGCTGGCGCCATCGCTGGCTTGAATGTGCTCAGGATTATCAACGAACCCACAGCTGCAGCCATCGCCTACGGTCTCGATAAGAAGGGAAGCTCAGCAGGTGAACGAAATATCCTCATCTTCGATTTAGGCGGCGGGACTTTTGATGTCTCCATCCTGTCAATTGATGATGGCATTTTTGAAGTGAAAGCAACTGCCGGGGATACTCATCTTGGAGGCGAAGACTTCGATAATCGTCTTGTAAGCCACCTTGCTCAGGAGTTCAAGAGGAAGCACAAGAAAGATATCTCGGAGAATAAGCGGGCTTTGAGGCGATTGAGAACTGCGTGCGAACGAGCTAAGAGGACTCTATCCTCGTCTGCACAGGCCAGCATTGAGATTGACTCGCTTTTCGAGGGCATCGATTTCTACACGTCCATCACCCGCGCGCGATTCGAAGAAATGTGCTCGGACCTCTTCAGAGGAACACTTGATCCTGTTGAAAAAGCGCTTCGCGACGCCAAAATGGACAAGGGACATATTCACGAAATAGTCCTAGTTGGTGGCTCTACCCGAATCCCAAAAATACAAAAGCTGTTGCAAGATTTCTTCAACGGAAAAGAGCTTAACAAGTCGATCAATCCCGACGAGGCGGTTGCTTACGGGGCAGCTGTTCAGGCTGCCATCCTTAGTGGTGACAAATCAGAGGCAGTCCAGGATTTACTTCTCCTCGATGTCGCCCCATTGTCAATGGGACTCGAGACAGCAGGAGGAGTCATGACTACCCTCATAAAGCGTAACACTACCATTCCTACTAAACAGACTCAAACCTTCACTACATACTCTGACAATCAGCCCGGTGTGCTCATCCAGGTTTACGAGGGCGAGCGCGCCATGACAAAGGATAATAACCTGCTCGGCAAGTTCGAGCTCTCCGGCATCCCACCTGCTCCTCGTGGCGTCCCGCAGATCGAAGTTACTTTCGACATCGACGCCAATGGCATCTTGAATGTTTCTGCTGTTGACAAGTCCACCGGCAAGGAGAGCAAAATTACCATCACCAACGACAAAGGTCGACTAAGCAAGGAAGAGATCGAGAAGATGGTACAAGACGCTGAAAAGTTCAAAGATGAGGATGATAAGCAAAAAGAAAAGATTTCTGCCAAGAATTCGTTGGAATCCTACTGCTTTAATATGAAGTCAACTCTTGAAGACGACAAAGTGAAAGATAAAATTTCTGAAAATGATCGCAAGAAAGCCCTGGACGCGTGTGGCGATGCTCTCAAATGGCTGGATGCTAACCATTTGGCAGAGAAAGAAGAATTCGAGCATAAACAAAAGGAAGTGGAAAAAGTGTGCACTCCCGTGATCAGCCAGCTCTATGGAGGAGCTGGGGGGCCCATGCCCAACGGTGGCATGCCCGGGGGATGCAAATCAGCTGGCGGACCAACAATCGAGGAAGTGGATTAAATATTAAATTATTACATTTGAATGTATTATTTGTAAATGTTGTGTTGGTATCAAATACTTTATCTAGAGAAAATTATAATGAATTGTAACTTATTGACGTGCATCATGATGACTAAACGGGTATCTGGAAATTCAATCTGTTCATGGAGAGTCATAATGTAATTGTCTAGAGTAATTGTATGTTGATCTGTAACTATCTTGTTGATCGTGCTTAGTATAGTTGATAGCTTGTTAGTGATGAATTTGTACAAATAGTACTATTTTTATTTAATTTATTATTAAATTCTCCTAGTTACAGTCAGAGTGAGTTGACACCCTTGTATAAATAATCTTGTAGGTTATATATAATAAAAGTATTAAATTGATCGCTCTCTTTTTTCTGTCCTTGGACTCATTGCCGAAGTAATGATGAAACTTGAAGTAATGATGAGTTGAATTCGCATGAATCAATATTTGCTCATATAGATCTTTCATTATCAGGTAGTGATCAGTACACAATTATTTAATGGGTAGTCCGTAAATGATGAGATGAAGATCAAAAAGTGCGAAGAAATTACGGCAGGGGCTACGGCAGCCGGACTGTCGTCCCTGTGAGGGGCTACGGCAGCCGGACTGTCGTCCTCTACGGCAGCCGGTCTGTCGTCCCTGTGAGGGGCTACGGCAGCCGGACTGTCGTCCCTGTGAGTTGCTACGGCAGCCCGTCTGTCGTCCCTGTGAGGGGCTACGGCAGCCGAACTGTCGTCCCTGTGAGGGGCTACGTATGAGAGTATCAAACCAGATATTGCTCTTATTGTATCAGTTTTGAGGTACGACTAGGGCCATTGCCGTCTTCATTTCTGTTGCCGTTCAAATTAGAAGTATTGAACATGCTTGTTAACTTATGAAATATATCAGCTCATATCATTTCTTAATAGTTATACCGTTCATTTTTCATTTCAGCGCTAAATTCGAGCTTCACCTCCGAGATTATTTTACACACTCTGAGAACGAATAGCGGTTTTCCAATAAATTCAATTAAAACGGTCATATTTGCGTTATTTCCTTTTAGGGCCTCTACTGTATGTGCAATTGTTTTGTTTGATTAATTAATTGTTGATTAATGAAAAATAATATTTAATAAAGGTAGCGAAACAAAGAATTGAATAGAGTCTCATCTGAAAGTTTTATTAACGAAACGATAGTTGTGCTGAATGAAAACGACCGGGTTTAAATTATAATGTTTTTGCACCAGAAGTTTGATTGGTTTAATCAATATTTTTGTTCATTTATTTACTTTTTATCCATATTTTTGATAAAATCGAATATTCATCATACGATAATACGTTAAATAAGTGCGTACAAAAGCAATAATATGTAGGGCCGGTTCAAGAGGCGAAATTACATGCATTAGGTATGTAACAAGGGCCCTTTACATGCGTTAACTCAAAGGTTTTAGCGGAAAGCTATCTTAAACAACACGAGGTCGTCACCAAAATTTCACAATGCCACCAACTTCGAACCTTTCCTTCGCGCGCTTTTAGTTCTCTAATGCCAACTACCTTAACCTACACTTAATCTATGTGGATGCTAATACGATAACATGAAAAAATTTCTTATAGCCAGGGATGTTCCAGTGGTTTTATTCATCTGTACACTACAGTATATATAGAGGATCATTGCTATTCCATTGCTTGTGATCAACCGTGCTAAGCTGCAGTACATGCACATCCAATTGCAGTCAGGGCCCAAGCGCCATCTTGGGTCAGCAACTTCCTCTGGATTCTCCGAAAGAAGGTATGATTATCTAATGTGAATTGGAATTTTTATTGTTATATATACTGTATCAATGTGTGATATTGTATGCATGAATAACACGTTTATGAGTGGAGGGTAAATGCTGAAGTCGGAGACTGAATAAATCTATTTTTCAGCATTTTTTTAAAATGATGAAAAATTATTTTTCACGGCTAAAAATGATGGAAAAATTGGATTCTACACGGATAAAAAGCTAAAAAAAAAGGATTCCCACGGAGAAAAATGGCAAAAATGGGTTCTCCATGGATAAAGATGCTGAAAAATTGGTTCTTCATGGATAAATATGGGAAAACTTTCGAGTTAATTGAAAAAGTCATGAATACTAATTCCATTTTAGAAACGGTAGAACTTATACTGGTGAAATTATTACAGACTCTTCGCCGCTTAAAGAGAATAAATTTCTAGGTTTGGGAGAACTTTCGAATCGAGCTTTGAAAGTTATGATTGCTAATTCTATTTTTGAAACGGCTGAACTGACACTCGTGAAATTAAAATACACTTTTTGCCGCTTTCAAGTGAATAAATTTTTAGGTTTGGGTGAACTTTCGAGTTGAATTTAGAAATGTTATGAATGCTAATTCTATTTTAGAAATGGCTGAACAGATACTCTTGAAATTATAACAAACAATTTGCCGCTTTAAAGTTAATAAATTTCTAGGTTTGGGAGAACATTCGAATTAATTTTAAAAGTTATGAATACTAATTCTATTTTAGAAACGGCTGAAATAATACTCTTGAAATTAGAACAGACGCTTTGCCGCTTCAAAATTAATTAATTAAATTAATTAATTAAAAATTTGATGAATTTCAAGGTTTGGGGGAACTTTCGAGTTCATTAAAAGCCATGAATACCAATTCCAATTTAGAAACGACTGATTTGATATCCGTGAAATTATAGCAGACTTCTATATCACATTGCTCGGCGTGAGTGCGCGCAGCCAAATGAGGGGGCGCGATAGCAACTGACCAGTCCTATACAACTCCTGCCCATATGCTCAGCGGCCCTAGAATAAAGATTGCGAGACGTCATCCCGACGTACGCAGATGCACATTGTGCACAATAATATTGATAAAACAGGGACGATCGCAAATGAATAGGGAGCATATCTCTGTATCTAAAGAAAGAACCGATTTTGAAATTGTGTACCAGCACAAAATGAAGATTGACATTTTGGAGGTATCTATTAAACAAGACTTTTAACTCTCATGACATAGCTTCGGAGGCATGGCTGAAATATGGAAAAGAACAATAAATAACATTCCTACTATCGCGCTCGTGAGCAACCTCACTGTATCGTAAACACCAAATTTGCCGGAAATCCATTAAGCGAGAAAATAATGCGTAAAAATTCAAATCAGCGTGCAAAGCATGTTACTTGTTGCAGTTAACTAGACAATGGTCTTGCTTAATGGAAAATTATCATCTGCAAAATTAGCAAATAATGTAAACAATTCTGCAAAGCGTTGGATTGCTGGCAATGGTGTTACTGTAATTAACATTAGTGCTGGAACAAGACAAGAAACAGATGGCATTGTTAAATACTAATGCATCAGACAGATTAAAATCAGGTAAGTAAGCAAATGCAGTAAGGGAAATGCTACAACCTAGCTTAATAATGCCTCCCTGTCACACCGCCTCTGCCGAAGAATGGCTACAGACACCCTGTCAAGAGATTGTGGAAAGAATTTAACTCGTATTCTCGGATTACAATGTATGCTTTCAATAATCTGTACGCTGGTATCAACTTAAACATAGACGATGTAATTAGGCAATTTTCAGTAGAATACGTTCAATTCACAAAATAAATTGGTGCTAATAATCAAACCTCTAAAAGTGTACATTTACGTATGGTTTGCAAGATAATAACAAAAAGTACGAACTTTTTTAAAACATAGTCTGCAATGAACAACTGGCAACAAACCAAGTGGAAATTCATCGCTGAAATGTAGTACCAACACTGCAATGTAACTGTATAGAAACACTATGAGCTGATAAGTTACGTAAGTCAACAATTTTATTTAATATTTTAAATTTGAACGGCAACAGAAATGAACACGTCAATGGCCCCAAGTCATACCATGAAACCTAACTGACACGACCTGTCAGTATTCACTACCTGTCTTTCTAGCGAAGTAACATTTATTTTAATGCAAATTTACTTTTATTAGCCTCCCGCCCAACTTATCTCTGAAACTTCTGAATTAATTACTAACTTCCAATTTCAGTTAACCTAATGCTATTATTAAGCAGCCAGAAGGGTTGCAACTTCGTGCTTATTGTGATTTTTCTTTCATCGAATCTATAGTCTGGCATCGCTGGCCGTCAATATCGGATTCTCTGCAGCCACAATCCCTGCTACTCGCTTTGTAATTTTCTACTCTGCGGTTCAAGTTTATGAAGCCGTCCGTATAGGATTACCCCGATGGCAACGTTAGGATAAGGTCGGGACTTTCCTGCTATTGCAGCATGCAGCAAAACTCTTACGGTTAACTGAAGAACCGGTTCTACTCTAAACAAGTCGGGAGAAGAGCTTTAAGCTCGCTCGTAAAATTTTTTCAAAAATATTAGCATCAAACTTCTCATTCAGATTTGCCTTCAATTGAAATTTCATTCAGTTTAGTATCTCGGTTGCAGTTATTTGTTCCATTCATAATTTTTTAAGCTAATAAAATCACATAAAACTAATAAATAATAAAAAACTAATAATAAATATTAATAAACTAACTCTGCTAATAAATCACATGAAACTAATAGTTTTATGTGATTATACATAGTTATCCAATAATAATTGAGCTGTAAGTGCTATATCTATGTTTATGAATTCTGACACATTGATTGATAGCTGGTAATAGTACTTAACGATTGATGATCATATTAATTAATTATTGATGACTGATTATTCTAGTGATTGATGATTGATGATCGTATTAATTGATAATTGATGACTGTAAGGGTATTGGTATCCCGCTAGGATGTTCATCCTATGTTCAAGTAGATACAACCATTAATTGTGAGCATAGCCACTGTAGGAGCGGAGGGATGCGTATGGTATGGGTTATAAAGCGTTGGAGAACAACGTATTGACCGTTAACTATGTGGAGTAGCAACTTGTGGCTGAAGCAGTGTTGCTTTAAAGTTTGTGTGGTGAGATAGGTCAATTGACTACAGCTGCTTAGGTGCCAGGATGACAATATCTATAGCATTTAGATGGTTGATGTTGGCTCCAGGGCTGATTTGAGCGTTAATTTGCTGGTCTACGGCTGCGCACCCCGTCAGTCTTGATCGCGCTGACTAATTAAATCTGACAAGCCCTGTTCAGGCCGTCTTCCCTCTGAGACCTATACGATTTATATATATTACATAATTTTATGCGGTTACTGGATTTTTCCGCCTAAAAGATTTATACTTTCTTAAGCACTACATAACATAACATAGTGATGTCGGCGCTGAAGTGTAGGCCTGATGTGGCCTGTCGCAGATTCTTTTCATTTTTGTGCCTTGTTCATAGATCTAAACTCGTGTCATTTGACCGGATCTTTTCATGACTGACGATAGTTTGAAGTAGCTTCT